CGAGCAACGGCCCCAACGACCCCTGCGCAACTGCCGCAACTGCCGCCCCCTTCTGGCTGGGCGGTACAACACGTCCCAAAGGCCGCCTCGCGCTTCCTCTCAGCTCTCCCCTCAGCGGACGGAGCACAACCTGCGCGCCCGGAGCGGAGGTCCCCCCTTCTCTATGCCCGCCCGCCCCACCACACCCCAGGCTGCCAGGGGTAGCTGTGCCCAACGGGAAGAGGGGCTCGCAACCGCATCACCCCCGCTCGGGATCGCCCACCGCGGTAGCCTCGAGGGACGCCCGGCCCTCACCCCGCCGCCGCAAACCCCGACTTCTCTGCCTATCACATGAAAACAATTACTGACTCCGCCGGGGGAGGGGAGAAGTTAAAAGCCGTGAGGCGGAGGAGCGAAGGCTGGCTGCGGGCAGCTCCCTCCCCATCGCACCCCCGTCGCCGTAGCGGTATGCACCCCACCCGCTGAGCAGCCTCCACAGTACCGGCAACTCGGAGCCGGGTGCTTGAACTCACCCATTTATGTCGAGCTGGGCTTTGCCTGGCGGCGGAAACAGGCTGAAAGTTTGAGGCGGGTTGCCACGGCGAAGGGGGCGAGAGACAGCCCGAGCCGAGCAGCCGCCGCGGGAAGAAGAGGCTGTTGACAGAGCCGCTCCCTCCTCCGGCGGCCGCCGCTCTCAGCACTCGCTGCAGCCGGGCTGCATTCCGCGTCCTGTTAGCAGCAGCACCTCGGCTTCCCCCGGCATAAGTATCGTGTGTATTTAAAAAAAAAGAAAAAAGGAAACGAAGCGAGAGGGCTCAGCTTTCAGCTCCTGCCACCTGGGTCCCCGCTGCCGCCGGGCACAGCAGCCCGCGAGAGAGCGCGGCCAATCTCGGGCGCCCAGAAGAGCAGGCTGCCGAGCCGCGGGACCGGCCGGTGCACTCGGCACGGCGAGGGGGCGAGGGTGCGAGGAGCGAGCAGCCGGATCCCTCCACGCCGCAGACGGCTGCTGCTGCCGGCGGAGCCGAACGGAGCGGGGCGACTCGGCTCAGGCGCTGCGGGAAGTGTCGCGAGACTGCGCCAGAGCCGCTGCGCCGCCTCGGGCAGCCGGGAGCGGCGGCAGGGGAGGGAGGGCGGAGAGGAAGGAAGCGAGCAGCGGTACCCAGCGGGGGCTGGGGTGGGCCGGGCCGGGGGAGAGGGGTGCTGCGGAGCCCCGGGTGGGGGAAAGGGGCGGCTCCTTCCGTCTGCGGCCGGGAGTCGGCAGGGGGGCACGGGGAGGCACCGGGAGCTCGGGCGGGGCACGGGAGGGGAAGGGGCTCGCCTTGTTTCGGTGCTGGGGAGGAGGGAGGACGTTGTGGGCTCTGGTCACTGTCTCTGGGAGTGGGTGGCCGCTCCCGCGCAGCGGGACAGGCGGGTACCTCAGGATCCTGTACCCGGGAGCTGCTACCTGCTGCAGGCCGTGCCCTGTCCTCCCTCGGGTCTCTGCATTCGGAGGAGCTGGGAAAGGAGACGGCCGCTCCCGCAGGTGCCCCTCACCGCCCCGCTCCGGCGCTGGCCGTGAGGGAAGGGCCCCCCCCCCCCTTTTACACGCTCGGCTCTAGAGGGCGGGAGGGAAGGAGGAAAGACGAGATGAAGAGTGGAGGCTTGGTGGTGGTGTTCCGGCAAAAAAAAAATAAAAAATAAAAAGCGAAGCCGCACATGAGCAGCTGACTGTTCAGTATTGCAGGAAGATGGGAAACTCGTGCCGCAGTGGAACTGAGCAAAAGTGAGAGCCGTTTGCATAGATCAGTAACCTTTCTGGATAGAAAAGCACCTCATGCGGCCAGGGAGCATTTTCCAGAGGCAAGTCCTTACGTAGGTGAAGACCACTGGAACAGAAAAAAACTACACCAGTAGCAGAGTGGAAGAACATGAGAAATTGTAACCTGGTATAAAAGATAAAGAGTATAGGTAGCATCTTCTACAGCACAAGCACCTTCGAGATTAATGAAAGGTTGAGCAAAAAATTCTGGATGAACCTCAGGTAGGTAATTTGGGTATGAAGGCAGAAAACTGGCATTATCCACCATTCCTCACTGCATAAAGGCATTTGAGCTTTATTACTTGGAAAAGTTACAGGATTAATTCTGGGAAGTAACCAGAAGTACCAGCTTTTACTTCAGCATTATGACAGACTAGCTGAAAATGTGAGGTCAGTTTGACATTTTATTTTGATTAAGTAGAATTGATGCAACCAGGGTTGAGAAGGAAGGTATTTCTGCTGTTACTATGGGTAATTGTAGATGAAGTTTGGCTTTCTAGGGCTCCAGTTTCACAACGTAAGATGGAGTAAGTGGTATAACAGTAAGTTAGCCTGGCACATCCCAGTATCACTATTTCTGTAAGAACTCTTCAAGGCTGGTAGTAGAAGTGGTAAGGAGTAACACAACGTAATTTCACACAGTACCCAGGAAAAAGCCAATTTAATGGTTATTTCAAACAGATTCCCAATTTCAGCTATCACTAAAAAATTCATGTATGGGAAGTCCCTTGCTTTCTTAAGTAAAGCAGTAACACAGTATAGCAGGTTGTCCTTCCCAGAAAGTGGAAAAAACTCATTGTAAACTGGGAGGAGCACTGTTGTAATGCCTCCAAGATTTAGCTTCTCATTGTTCGTAAGCCACTGTAGGACTGATCTTGTGTTCATGTAGAGCCTACCCCTCAGCTGGGGCTTCAAACTAACATCACCAGGAGCTGGGGGGATGGGGGGAAGTGTTGAATGAATACACATCATGATGGCATTTAGAAACTTCTCTTTACCTGTTAAGAAATTGCTCAGAGAAGCTAAAGAGATGGTTTTAATGTGGTATCAATGCAAGTTAGCAACTTCATTCTCGAATGACATGCACTTCAGAACACGATCAGCTACATCACTTCTTAAGACTATAGTATAATAGTTGGGAAGCATGATTATTAATATCCCCCCAAGTATTTTAATTTTTTTTCCTGAGAGGAAAGAAGTAACAATGCCTCCCCCTGTAGCTACTCTACATCACAGTAGATTTACCACACATGAAGGAGTTTTGCTGTACTACCTAGCTCAAGGATAATAACCAGGTTAGGAGAATTATATAAAAAATAATAATTACATAAAGTGAAGATCAAGACAGATTTGGATTATGCAAGTTTAAGTAAATAATGGGGAAATTTAACTCTTTTCCTTTAATTAAAATACAAGTGTATTATTCTTCTAGCTTCACCTTATTCTCCCTCCACTCTATTACGGGTTCTTAGTATTAACACTTGTTTTCACCTCATACTGATGATACAGTATTGACAGACCTCTTAAAAATGCATACTGGTTTACTGAATGTACACAAAGTTAGCCAAGCAAGTGTGCTCCTTCCCCCATCCTGCTCCTTTACAGGGCAAGAATCAGAACTCAGCAGAGATAAGGATTTTGAATGCCACGGAGGAGGTAAGACATACCGCTTTCACGGATTTTGTCACACAGCATCTATTCTGTGCTAGTAATGAGGGGAGAATTGTATTTCTGTGTCTTTAAAAAAGCAGCTTCTTTTAGCCAAAAAAAGCGTGCTTAAAATGTGGATCAATATTTCAATCTTCAACGACTTATATAAGTTATACTAAAAAAAACAATTCAGTGGCTACATAGATCAAGTAAAATACTCTGAAAGTTACACCAAACATTAATAACTACTGAATCAAATCACTGAAGTAAAAATTCTGTGAAAACATTTATTGTCTGTAGAAACAAGATTTACATTGATTTTATATAAACTATGTTAAACATACATATAAACATACCTACATCTTAATATATACTTATGAATGAGGATTTTAGATATGGAATAACATTGTCAAAAGCACCGTTGTAGACGCCAAAGACTACAGACTTAAAATGCATTTGCATTTAACTCCATCTTCAGTAGTTTAAAAATGTTGTTTCTTATCCACACTTAGAAATAATTACATTAAAGATTTCCAACACTGTGTTTGTATGTGTACACACGTGCACATACACACATTAGAAGGTCCTCATGAAACTACAGTATAAATAACATCAACACTAATATATTCCTTACAAGTGGACATCAGTCCACATCCTCATTCAATTGGGGGGGGGGGGAAATCCTGCTGTTCTTAAACAAAATAATGAGGCTTTTTTATTCCATGAAGAAGATACTCCAACAACTGGTTCCACCCTGTCTCTTCCCTCAACAATGAGAAGCCAATCAAGAAATGAAAGCCATCTACTACATTTACAGAAAATGAAATATTAAAAGACAACATGAGATTTAGACTGCTTGCACAAAATTCAGAGCAATGAACAGTGAACAGAAGAAAACTATTGAAGTGGCAAGCAGCACAGAGCTATTAAGCCATGTGGCTAAATACTCACTCAAAACCCCCTCCCAACAACCAAACCCATCAAGCAGGGAAGGAAAGGGCAGATGTTACAACAGCAGTTTTCTCTGCTCTCAACACTGACAATTTAGCTCACCAAGCTTGAAACAGAACACTCTTTAGAAGCTCATCACTACTGTTAAGGTCAATTAAGGAGTTAAGTGTTAAAAGTAGGCTTTTGATGATCTTGAAATGGCTTTTTTTTGCCTTTTTTTTTTTTTTTCCTTCCTAAGTAGGCTGAAGAACCTCTATCTTCAAATCCTGCAGCAATGGGAGTCTGTCAAGGACCAGAGTAATGTGCAGAAATGTCCCTTCACCCCCAGGTTCATTCAGATGCCAGTCTAAAGTCTTTATTCTACAGAGCTCTCCTGTAGAAAACTTTGCAGGTGGCTGTTCAAATACTTAAGGAAAGGCAAGAGGCATGTTTCTACACAGCATAGGAAAAGATCCCTTTGGAAAGCACGGAAGTTAAAGAACTCCCTCTATATACAGTCTCTAAGGTGAACACTGAGAAATAACTCTCTGCTATAATCTTTAATCTTGTCCTCCAAGCAATTCTCACTATCCATTTCCCAGACATGGCAGAAAATGACTTTCCGAGTTTTGAGAACCCCCACCTTTTATAATGCCACTAAAGTGTCATCTTGGTTTTTGTTTTGTTTTTAAAGCAACTAAGTTCATACAAAGAAAATTCAGCATTTCACTCTGAGGCCCTGGGAGAGAAGGCAGCAAGTAAACCACTAGCACAATTGGTGATCAGCTGAATTTACTCCCATCTTCTGCTATCAGTTACCTGAGTTGAGACAGTTCTATCCAGGTCTCAAGACCATCTAAATCCATCAGGTAAGGTGAAGCATGAAAACAATTACTAGAGTTAAGGCAGGCTTGTAGAAGCCTTGCAATGTGTTGCTTCTTACTAGCCCCAGAATTTTTTAAACCTTGTGAACTCACATCATCACAAAGTTTAAAATGAGGACTCTTAACAAACCTACGTAGAGATTAAATGGATCATCAATATAAATGCTAACATCACAACTTACTATTTCAGACACAAGGAAGACTCTAGTCATTAAACCCACTGCATTTTAGATAGCAATTAGAAAAACATTTCACATGAACAATTGAGTGACATGAGCATTTAACAGCCATTTCAAGTCAACCAAAAAGAAACGCAATTCATATTTTCAAAGTATAAAACAAAGCTAGAAAGCTCTTAGACAATCACATTTTTAAGCTGCCCTTCCAATGCAAATGCAGTGGCAGACTTTACTAATACAAGCAACGCTGTTTTCCCTCTGAGGCTTACACGCATATTTAAATAAGTAGTTATTCCAATACCAGTCCATGCTCCCATTAGAAACAATGTGATAACCAGGATATTACTTAAGTCTTTGTACAGGTGTTTTCTACAATGCAGTCACAATACAGAAAGGCACCAAGTTATTCAAGTAAATTCACCTTTCTTCTACTTAACACCTTTTCTTGCTCGTTCACAACCCAATACACTGCTCTCAAACAAACGTATTCCAGTACGACAGAACTTTTCTGTACTTAAAAGAATACGCAAGCCAATTTGTGTGAGTATATAAACACAAGTCTCCAATTCACAAAGATAAATCTACATAGCAGTGTCTCATACCAGATAGAGTTGATGCCTCTAACACCTAAACCAGTCACAGAATTCAACCTTTGATTTTTATAAAATATAGGAAGTTTTATCATGATAGAATCCCAAATTAGCCAAGTAAAGTTATCAGTAAATAACATGATTTGAGCAAATGGTATCATATTAAATAAAAGCTAAAACAACTGAAACAGTTACTACATTTTATCATAGGACATTCATCTTGTGACCAAGGATGGGCAAGGAGTAGGGGGACAAGTCAAGGTCAGTAACATGCCAACAAACCCTGCTTGTAATATGTTGCTCATGGTTGTAGAAATACAAAACAAAGCTAAACTGTTCAAATACAAAACAAATTATAGAGATTCCCAGTCATGCACAAGTAAAATGAGAGAGCACAAAATCAGTGGAGCCAGTCACACTTTTAAACCTGGTTAAAGCAGCAGTAATTGACTGAAGTCTGACTACTTCAGCATCACTTCTAAACAGTTTTAGCAAAACTGCCATGTCAGAAGTTTCTTCATGTATCCACTTTTCCATTTGCTCAACCACAAGTTCTCTTCCAGGCTTTAATAACACTGCAGGAAGCTTACAGAAACAGTAGTATCCTGTTGAGTAAGACAATACAGATTCAGTAGTCCTATATCATACATGGTTTCACTTTTTACATGTTTTACAGTGCTTTAGCACATTCAGGAGCAGCGGGAATAGCTTGACAGCAAACTGCCCTCATCTGCAGAGTACCTGCAGCACTCCCTTGCCAATAGGCTGCTCAGCTGCAGCTACTCCACATTTGTTTTGGGTTGACTCAAACTTTGTTTCAATTCCTTATTTTTGTCTCCCTGTAAATCTACTCGATGTTTTTGTCCAATTTATCACTGACAGCATAAATAAATAAACATTTTATCATCTGCGGAAATTTTCCTGCCTCAGTTTGACCAATGAATTCCTTTCAGTTAGCTTCCCATCTTGTGTATGTGTGTCAAAGTTACTGAAAAACTAGCTGAATCATTGCTATTTAAACTAAAAATTTGGGGTTTAGAAACAAACGTCCGGTGTTATTGCTGAATGACCACAACATCAGTGAAAGTGGCACACTTTGTGCCTGCTTACTCCCTGTGAACACTAAGCAGTACACCCCATGAACTGAAAAATTTACATGACACTATTTTAGGTCATCCAAGCCATACCTACACTTCCAAATAGCCTCTCTGCTGAGGGCATTGCGGCAAAAACGTTACAAAAAGGTATGCAGAAATCACAGCCTGGCTTTCTACCCAAAATCCAGATTTCACTCTCTCTGAACATACTTCTACCCAGTATCAGAATTCCAACCTACTATCCACAACTGAGACTAGTCTGCATTCTATAATGGCTAACACTGCCTTGGAAATCATGAAAATACATCAGCCTGCATATATTGTGGATATGGTGAAAAGCTTTTTTTAAAATAACATCTCTAAAAACTACTTGCTTTGCATCTTTAATTTACTGGCAATGAAAAGTCTGAACAAACCTGTAATACATACACACAACCCTATCGTATATTACATATTAAGGCAAAGGCTATAAACAGGAAATAAGCACAATATTGTTTATAGCTGCTTATAAAACATGTCCATCTATTTGAGTTTTGCACACAGCACAGCAATATTGCAGTACAGTAAACTTCAGAGAATTACTGGGATTTTGAGCAAAATGATAAGCTATCTGCATTTAAAGCAGTTTCAGTTATGAACAGCTTTCTTAGAAGACATGCTTAGAAAAACGTACAGTTTTTGTTTTTCTTGTAATTAAATACTTCAGGCCTCAATTTCAGAATCCAGGAAATCATCAAATCATTTATGACAAAAAAGATTAGAGAACATGTGGCTTGGTCAAGAATGTCATACCCCAAAAGATAATGAGACAATCATTTTGAATACAGACCAACTAATCCTCTAACAACCCCAAGCATGCTTTCAGTGCAGTTATAAGCTACTGCTACAGTACATTACACACCTGCCTGTTACCATTCATTTTAATCAAATACTGAAAGTTGTCCCAACATTCTAACAATTTACAAATGTATATACACATCAGAAACCCAAGTATATTATTAAACTAAAGTAATACAAAATACTGGTTCACAGCAATGCTAAACAAAGGTGTAAAATCTATTGCACAACCTAAAAGGTCATTACTTGGAAAATCCTGAGCTAATGTGCTATTACCAAACAATTCAGGCACTTTTTTTTCCTCCTTTTTTTATTACATAAGCAAGAAACTGTCAACATAGAAACCTCTGGGTATAACAACTCAAGTTCCATCTGTAACATCATGCTTACAGAAAAAGTATTCAATAAATAAGACTCCCTCTGATGACTTCTTTACTTGACACTGGTATGCAAAAGGAACTAAAGGTACATACTACTGTTTCAGTTGAATACTGTAGTTTAAAAGCAATTATTAAAACTGTAAAAAAGTTCTGCAGCATTCCACTACTGAAAAATAAAGTTATTTTTAATCAAGAAAGTTATAGGGTTAGTTCCTTTATCCTATTTTAAGTCTTGACAACACTGTCAAAAAATGAACAGATGCTCCCTTTGCTGTGTTGTCTGTTTCAACTTCAGGATCACAGCTCAGTTCAGGTTTCTGCTGCAATATTTAAATTTCCCTACAGAAAGAAAAAAAGAACACATTACTGTCAAGTTGTAACAGTGAAAAAAAACTTCCCAGTTTTCATAAATACTGTATTATTATAGTATGGAACATAAAAGATTCTTCCAGTTATGGACTGAAACAGCATAACTGTAAAGACTGTGCCTTAAAGGAGGTATATACATAATTATTTCAAAAGGGTGAAATAAAGATGTTCAGACTAGTTTAACAAATCTCAAGGACAATTTTAATTGTTAGAGAATCACAGAATAGTCGGGGTTGGAAGGGACTTTCAAAGGTCATCTAGTCCAACCCCCTTGTTGTAAGCAGGGACATGTTCAACTAGATCAGGTTGCTCAGAACCACATCCAGCCTGGCCCTGAATGTCCCCAGGGGTGGCACATCCACCACCTCTCTGGGCAACCTCTGCCAGTATTTTACCACCCTCACTGTAAAAATTTTCTTCCTCACATTCAGCCTGAATCTCCCCTCTTCTAGTTTAAAACCCTCATCCTACTGCAACAGGCCCTCCTAAAAAGTCTTTCCCCATCTTTCTTGTAGGCCCCTTTTAAGATCTGAAAGGCCACAATAAAGCCTCCCAAAGATTTTCTCCAGGATGGACAACCCCAACTCTCTCAGCCTTTCCTCATAGGAAAGGTGCTCCATCCCTCTGATAATTTTTGTGGTCTTCCTGTGGACCCTCTTCAACAGACCCATGTCTTTCCTGTACTGAGGACCACAGAGCTGGATGCAGTACTCTGCAACCGGCAAAATACAGCAAATGCTAGAATCTGAGAAAAAGTGGTTTTGTTTTTCTAAGTTTGGGGTTTTTTTGAGAATTGGCCAATCAGCAATCAGTATGTTGTTAAGAAAATGACTGTTATTCTTTAGGATTTATTTTACTTCAGCTAACAGACACTCAAGTTCCTAATCAGGCCTAAAAATCAATACTGAGATCTTACTATGCTTCTCTAATTCAAATGATAATCTCCACCAGCCAGGTTGTGTAAAGCATGCTTTATTGGTTCCAGACAAGAACCTTAATATCCAATTATAGAAGAATATTGGAAATTATGGGGGAAAAAACTCACTACAACAAAGTCATGGCACTTCTATGCCCATTTTACAAGGTCATAATTTTCTGAAAAAATCCTTCTTCATTTATTTTCCATTAATTCCAATTCAGTTTAGCCTTCGGAGACCACAGCTCTGAGAGTCCACACAAATGTAAACCCATCTGCCAGTATACTTTTGTAACAAGTGACCTGTTTACCCTGACCAAAGCATTTGGTTTTCTATCTGCCTTTTTTTTTTCCTCCCTTGCTTGTTTGGGTTATTGGTGTTTTGCTTCCCCCCCCTCCATGGGACTGTAAACTTAAGATTTTTTTGAAAACAGCTCTAAGAGCTGAACTCTAATCCAACTACAAATGCTTATGCAAGTGTATTTACTTGCAGACAGATCAACACAGAATTGCAAAACAAACAAGAATTCACACAGGAACACAGAACTGCAGGGGGCTAGTTAGGTCATGTAATCCAATTCTCTGATGTCACGAGTAACCTCATACTACTTTGATCATACTTGATCAATTCTAATCAAGGATTTTTAATGTTTTAATTACTGATCGTCACAAAAGCTGTAACATTTCACAGCATTCAAAAGTTCCTCTGTAGTTCAAGATTACGCACTGCAAATCGAAGAGTATCATAAACCAGGTGTGCCTAATTATTTCAGCTGAAGCTGAATTTTACACATTTTATAATGTAGGATGCATTATTCAGAACAGCACTGCACTGTGTCCTTTAAAGCACATGATTAATTTAAGGTAACATAAAGAGGAAAAGCACACAGACGTAGTAGAAAAAATATTAATACCCTTCACATTGATTTAAAACTGTAGCCTAAGAAGACATAATATTTTTACATAGAGGGCTACTTTCTCTTCCTATCAATAGGAAGAGATCAACTGAGCTCAAATACAGAATACAGAAACAGAGGCAAGTGCAGAATCTCAGAGGCCATCTCCGATTTGCAGTTACCAGTTTCAGCAGATTTCCATGCAATAAACATGGAGGAGACAGGAAGGCGGAATCAAGTTTGCCTGCAAAGCACAAGAGCCAATATTCCAGAAAATCCCATCCAAGTTATTCCATGGGGATTTAAATACTGGAATGGATATTATGAATATTCACATTTTATAACTGGCTTAGTGAAAAATAAATTAAGCCAACTTACCTTTTCTTTCCTCAAAAATCCATCTCTGAATTTATTAGTGGTAAATCCCCTTACACCAACAGAACGTAACCGCTGGTACTTAGCCTGAATATATAAACCCTTCTGTACTAAGCCTGATTTATAATGGGATTGCAAACGGCCATCTGCAAAGTTGCTCTGTAAGGGTGGGGGAAGGAAGGAAAGAAAGAAAAACATGCAAAATGAGGGCACCAAAACTCAATAGTTTGTATTTACAGTTATACACATGCAAATCTTACAGTACTGAACAATGGAAGTACATATTTGCAAGTACAGAGCCTCTTCTTTTATTTCCATTTCATATTCTTCAGACCACTAGCTATCATGTGTCTCAAAGAACTGCTGTAATGTACTTGCTGTTTAAAACATCTGAAATTATGTTCCTCATTAAAAAAAAACCCTACATGTATTGTCCATTTTAACACTTTTTTTAAACTTTAATGAAAGTAAAGCTGCATTGACAAAAAAGATTAAGACAACACATCACTACTGCTAAGAAATTCAATGATGCCCGGCCTGCATGTTGAGTCTAAAAATAGTCATACTAAACAGCAATCAAGTTTATATGCTTCTCCTATAGCTTTAAGATCTTCCAGATTCATTGCTCTATGCTTTTATTAGCTCCAGACTGGAGTACTGTAACAAACCCAGTGTGGGACCAGGAGCAGAAGCCACAGGAGAACAGCATTGTAAACACACAGCAAGATCAACACCAAAGCAGTTAAGTTTCATTCCTAAGTACTCAGATGTCCAACAAAATAGGCAGCAAAAATCTTTAGAATAAGATCAAAGAATCACAGAAGGGTTTGGGTTAGAAGGGACCTTAAAGATCATATAGTTCCAACCCCCCCCTACTGTTACTCTGTTTATCATAATTTCTCATAGCTTGCCAGTACTGTTGTTTTCCAGTGTGGTCCTGACATAAAGCATTCACATATACATTCATCTTCTAAAGGATGAGATTACACACAGTTTAAAAGTTTCAGCTCAAGTATCTATATGTTCCCTAAGTGGGGAAGGAGGAGAATGGCAGTATTATTAATGTACAACAGAACCAGCTATAGAGAAAGTTGACACTATATATAATTTGACATGTAGACAAATATTGCTTAAAGAAAAATGAAGTAATCGAAGGTGTGTGGAAAACATCATTAACTTCTGGTCTGAAAGTCAGAAAAAGTCTGCTAAAGTCACATCTAGTTTTACATTAAGACTATTTTATAAATAATGCCAATGACAATACCTATGAACCAATGGCCTCAAGTTCTGAAATAAGTCTGTATGAGCAAACAGATGTCCTTGCACTGGGTCTGGCTGGGATGGAGTTAATTTCCTTCCCAGCCCACATGATGCTGTATTTTATATTTCTGACCCAAACAGTACTGGTAACACACCAGTGCCGTGACTATTACTGAGCAGTACCTGCACAGCACTAAGTCTTTCTTCTCCCTCTACTCTGTCCCTCAGCAAAGTAAGCGAGGGATGGGCAAGAAGCTGGGAGGGTACATGATCAGGACAGCTGACCCAAGCTGAGCAAAGGGCTATTCCATGCTGTACACCCCCCTACTCAGCAACAGAAACCAAGGGGAAAGGGTTTGGGGCAGGTAGCCATTGCTTTGCAGAACAACTGGGCATCAGTTGGCTTGTGGGAGAAGGTGAGTGACTGTCTTTGTGTCACTGTTTACTTCCTCTTTCCTTCACTTCTTAAATCGCCTTCATCTCAGCCCAAGAGTTTTGTCACTTTTGGTCTCCATATTCTCTCCCCCATCTTGCTGTGGAAGGAAGGGAGCTGAGGGGAGAGTGAACAAGCAACTTTAACATAAAGATAACAAAGTTAACATCCTGAAAGACAATATAGGTCCTTTTTTATTTGGTTTGTGTTCTGGTTTCTTGAAGTGTTAAAGGCCAGATGGGGCTTTCAGCAACCTGGCCAAGTGGAAGGTATCCCTGCCCATGGCCAGGAGGGTTGGAACTAGATGATCTTTAAGGTCCCTTCCAACCTAAGCCATTCTGTGATTAGTAAACCTCCTATTTTACTTCTTAAGTTAAAATGCTCCTATTTTACATACCATGCAGAATATAGTATGGTTTGGTGTTTTTCTTGGGGTGAGGGGGCTGAGAGGGAAAAGAGGATGCAGGGAATGGCCCTGGGAGGAGTGGGGGAAGGGCTTGATGGGTTCTTTTTTTTTTTTTTGTATGTTTGTTTTAAATAATCAGCCAAGAAAGTCTCACAAATGTAGAAGATAGTAAAATCACCTTACTAAGTAGGGTTCAGCAACAGCATGGGAAGGAAAACCCCTCTGTGTTACTCAGGAGGAAATTGAACATTAAAAAAAAACTTGATGAAATTAAGATAAATCAGCACTGCTGTTTCCATGGTAATGATAAATGTGCTATACACATATGCAAACTGCAATATGAGTGCATATGCTATTTTCCCCACAAATATTAAAGCACCATGGGACAGATTATTGTATATCACAATATTCAGGCAATATTCATATATATATATATGCATAACAACTTAAGCAGACACTTCCATGGTTGCATAATCTACATGAAAACTGTAGGCTGATATAAATGAAGGCAGACTTCCATTTTCTTTGTATTACATCAACTACCAACACTGCCTCAAACAATATGGCAGCCAGTGCTAAAGATCCCCCATAGGCAGACAATACGGAGGGGATAATGATTGAAAGGCTGTATGAAGTCCCTATAGTTAAAACAGTTCTATCAGGCTGACACTTTAAACTGGTAACTTCAGCTTGGAAAAAGACTGTTAGTGGGGTTTTTTTGCAGAATAAAGTTAGCATTTTCTGATAGTGGTAGCTCAGTTATCTGACTCGGACTGACTGGCAAAGCATATCTAAATAGGAGTACCTGAAAGCCTTTTTATCCAACAGTTCTTATGTTTAGTCTGAGGGGGGAGAAACAAAAACCAGAAAGTTACAGCAAAACACCCACACCTACACTGCTCCCTTTTTCAAAGCTTCATCCAAAATGCCTTAACTTAGCCATCAAAGCTTTACTTCAACTTCACTACTACAAAATAGGAAAGATGACTACCTATTCTTTGTATTATTTTACTCTTCAGAACACACCTGTTAAATAAGTAGAGGTAATTTTATGGTAGAAAATGAGTGTGAGCTGTTCTAGATTTGACTAGGACTTTTCTAATACAAATCACTCTAACTGGATCCACGCATAGCATGCCACTGTCAGCAGAAGAGTGTTTTTTGTTTTTTTCTGTTGAATCTATGATACGTTTTACAGTCAAAAGGCATTAGAAAGCCACTGCACTACCCCAGGAAGAAGAACAGTTGGCCACTCCTTACCACCTTGAGGCCCTGAGATCAAAGCTTCACTGGACAACCCTGCTCAATCCACTGCCAGCCCTCTTACCTACTAAAAGCTAAGTGAACCACTATATTTCATGGCATTTAGTACCTTCAAAAATGTGTCTTCTGCTACCGAACTCAACAGAATCAAGTCACCATTTTACGTAACATACATCTGATAAAAGCTGATCTGTACCTTAAAGTGCCTTCTGAAGGGTCCTGTGTTTTCAAGGTGTCCTCTAATGCGTCTGTGAGGGTAAGTATCACTTGGTTTTGAAGAATAGTAAGAATTCTAATAGGAAAACAGATTTATTAGCTTAATGTTACTAAATTATTTAAGAAAATACACAAAATTTACAGATTACAATAACAAATATTGTATTTCTTTCAACCTTGTAGCATCTCACACAATGACGCACTTTGAATGAACCAGAATAACAACAGCATAGGGCCTGGAGTCCAGGCTGGCTGAAGCAATGGCAGAGCCTACAGAAGCCAAAGACAGTATAGACCATCCTACTGCAATACCATCCTCTTGGAGAGACCTAAGCAGGTAACAACTCAGTTAAGGTTCTCTTCCCCTGTGGTTGTCCCCCCCAGAACAGATGCCTCAATTTGCATAGAGCAAGCGAGGCAGAAAGGCTGTTATAATAGTCAGGAATAAGGGCAACAAGATCAGTACTCTGGACATCCCTGGTTAACACCTAGTCACCATAGGTTAGCATATTCAGAGCAGACACATGCACTGTTACTATACACACCACTGCAGCAACCAGATAATGAATGTGTAACACATTGTATTGGTCCTTAGAAGATCCTACTTTTTACTCTGTATTACAGGAGAGCACATGAAGATTACTTGCATGCCACAGAAACACAAAATTTCAAAAGCAAGTTGCACAGAGGAGTGGAAATTGTTGTGTGTCAACACACTGAACAGCTGCAGACAGTCATGGCTGCCTAAAATAGAGCACTCCTCCAGCCACTGTCCAACTTGCATACTTTGGCCCTTTTCCAGCTTTTCCCATGACAGCTACCTCTGGAGGATGCACACAGCTGAAATACCATCCTCCATCATTGTATATGATTATAAATATTTACACAAGCATTACATATGAAAATATATACATTAAAAAGATCTAATGCAGACAGAATGGTCTTGCTACCAAACTTTCAGCAATAGAATTATTTTTTATTGTTTCTGGCCCATTCCTGAATAATCACAGAAGTGTTTCAATGCTGCTGAACTCTTTTTTTTTTTTTTATTCAGTGGCACAAAACACTTTAGGATTTGCTACTCTTACTAATTGGAGGGGGGGAGTTATAAATGCAACAGAACAGTGTCAGAACCCAAGTTAACGAGGATTTAAGTTAACTTGCCCTTTTTTAAAAAAATATATATTATTGCCTACAGGTCAGCTATTTAGCTTCTTAAAATGCCTTGGCAAGAGGGCATTCAGCGGAGAAAAAAAGAGAGGAAGAAAGCCTTTATAAAGCCAGATCAAAGCAGTGAAAATGGCTTTTCCAAGAAAAAAGGTGTCAAATATACACAGAGGCAAAAGCATGCTAGAATAAGCAGGGAGCTGGGAGTTCCTAACAGTATAAAGATACTCCATGAAATTGAATTGATTTTCTCCATATAACACATAATTAAATTAGGAAGCTCCCTGTTGAAGTACACTCCTCCTTAAAGCTGAGAATTCAGCAAGATGGAAAAAAAAAAACCACCAAGAAAATTTCCTGTTACAGCAAATACTAAACTTTTGGGAATTAAAACAAAGCTCATCTTAACTAACAGTGGATACACCCCTCTTCACCCCCACCTTCCTCAAGATTCAAGTATATTCATGGAAACAAAAACATTAGAAATACTTGATGCAAAGATACAGCAATCTACTTCTCAGGAATTTCCTTAACCTGAAGCTTTAAGTAAAACAAACATATGGGGAAGTACATGTAGATATTTATCCTGAGTCTCCTGCTCTTTAGTTATCTTTTATGTTAATAGGGTGCAAGGCTAGATGGACATTTCTTTCAATCAAGGCTGGATAGGAATTTGCACCTTCAAGACACAAGTTCTCAAGTTCACAAGTTTAAGCTGAAAACCCAATTACTGAATATTAACACCAGAAGCACTCCCCTTCACTGGTGTGTTGTAAAAGGTGCTCATACCTCGCACTAAAAACTTCATATTGGTTAATCGTGGCATACCAAAAAGCAGGCAAACCAAATCAACACCATTCTGTGTTTAATTTTAACCCTAATAATTAATATCCAGTTAACAAGAGCAAAAAGTGGTGTTAACACCACGTTTTGATAGTATACTGTAAGGACATTTTAATATGACCAATATATCACCTGCTTGCACATTAGGTAACCTCCTTGCATCAGATATGATCTATTGATCTGACTTTCAGTTTGAGCATCCATCTTTTACCAATGCTGATACACACAGCTCCTCAAGCACTGGTAAAAGCCACGAAGAAATTTTACTAACAGAGACAAAAATGTGCAAGTATTTACCCAACAAATTACTTCTCTTTTTAAATCCTGTGCTACAAATTAATGTGCTGTAGTGGATTTCCTGTCAGATACTATTATTATTATTATTGCCATATTTTCTGAGCCTTGGCACTGTTATGCTTCTCGTCTGAAACCTGGCTCTCTGGCACACTTTTCACTCAATATTTACCCGTAAACAGGAGCAAATAAACCTGAAAGGAGTGTTGATCATCAGAGGTCTTTGTTTTGCATTTTGCAGGGTTTGCTTTTAAAACTGTTTATGGAGTTTCACATTTAAAAGTGTTAGAAGATGTCTACTGCATACTTTTTCATGTGTTTTCCCACATCTTTACAATTTTGTCAATACAGGGTACTACTGCTAGCCTTCTGCAGATAAAACAGCTTCCCACAAGAACTGGAGAGCTCTGCTTGGATTGTGGAACCAACTGAACCAGTGTCTACCCAAGAATCTTTAACACTGAGCAAAACCACAAAACTTTCTTATTCAACAAGTATTCTTAGCTCTTGCTTACATTTCAAACTCTTCCTCAATTTTTCCATGTATTGCTGTGCTCAAGTAACATATACATTTTTAGGATGTTTCCTATGGAAAAAGATGTGGTTGACCCAGCATCGATATTCTGGTAACCCATCAAACCACATCTTAAATCCACTGCATTGTTCTCCAAACACTGTTTTTCAGTCATGGTCCTTACAGTTTTCAAGCTGCTCAGCAGTGCTCACGCCTGAACTGTACTATTCTGATACAAGAATTTGAATGTAAATTCTAAGTATTTGTCCTCTTGCAGAAAGCAGCCCTTTACAAACAATTTTATTTTTTTTCCCCTCCTAAGGCTGCTTTCAACTCTACTACCATTACATTTCCAAACAAAGTAGTAGTGGATACAGTCCCACAGCTCTGAATTCATTTGAAAGCCTACTCAACACAGAAAATGATACATGTGGCTGAAACTACAGTTGGCTGCTTGGACGTTACTCCACTCAACTCCCACAACAAATACTAAAGCAGTGCTAGCAGCTTACATATATGGAGATCAAGCTTGAGTTATTCCCCACGAGGTTAGGCTTTTCTCCAATTGTATCCAGTCCTGAAGAACTCCTTCAAGAAAAGCCATTTTGAGGACCATATATTCCCACACAACAGATCTACAGGCCACAGGCAAGTGCAACACTACTGGAGCTAACTTACTCCGCTGAATTATTTCTACTGCCTCTGATATGAGTTAGTTATTAGTGATCTGCTCTGACTAGGTAAAGATTACCCTTTTTTGCATTACTTTACATACTGAGCATTAGACATTCTAGATAAACAGAAAAACTAACAAAGGGAGCAGAATAATCAAAAGGCAAGGCCAGAAATAGAAAAAATAGAAGAGTAAATGCAATTAAGAAGCGCAAATTAATGTATTGTGGACACATCTGAAAAAAAGGCTGTAAGGCCTCTGAGCCAGTTGGGAAGCATTGATTAATGTTATTTGTACTGACAAATGTAGATGGCAACTAAAGCACTGTATCTTCCCACTTATCTGCAAACCAGCTTCTGCATGGCTGACTTCATGAAAACTCACTCCTTCTTTAGGAATGAGTCTTACAATGCTTTGCATTTGTGAAACCCATGCTTTCATAGCTACTGTTGTTCTGAACATATTACTCTTCAATGCAGTGCAGGACTTTCAAAACACTGCGTGTCTGCAGTTCACTCTTAGATATTAAAATGCAATCTTCCGGAATCTAACAATAACTCAATTTCTATTTCAAACTAACCCCCATTTTAGTTGCAATAACTACATTACTGTGCTGGGTTGACCTCGGCTGGATGCCACATGCCCACCGAGCCACTCCATCACTCTCCTCCTCAGCAGGACTGGGGGAGGGAGGTGAGAATAAGATTTAAAAAAAAAAAAAAATCCTCATTGGTCAAGACAAAGGCAATTTAATAAAGCAAAAGCAAAGGCTGCACATGGAAGCAAAGGAAAACAAAGGATTTATTCTTTACTTCCCCATCAGCAGGCAATGTCCAGCTACTTCCTAGGAAGCAGGGCTTCAACACACATAGCGGTTACTCCAGAAGACAAATGTCTTAACAGTGAATGTCGTCCCCCTGCCCTTGCTCCTTTCCATCAGCTATTATTGCCAAGGATATGTCATATACTATATAATATCTCTTTGGTCAGCTGGAGTTAGCTGTCCTGGCTGTGTTTCAAGATCTTGCTCAGCCTACTGATGAGGGGGAATGCTGGAGAGACAGCAGTGACGCTGTGCAGTGCTGCGCAGCAGCAGCCAAAACACTGATGTGTTACCACCACTGATACAAAGCTCAGCTCTACAAGGGCTGCTATGGGGAAAACTAACTCCATCTCAGCCAGACCTAATAGTTACTTAATAAGCAACTACTGCTTGGTTTTGGGGACTTCAATCTTAGTCTTAAGTAATTTTTACCCTTAAAAACTTGTGTTGCTTTACATCAGAAGATGCACCATTGTATCTGCATGGCAGCTACACTTCAGTGATTGTCAGAACTCTGTCTATACAGTATTAATTACAGTCTATAAACAATTACAATTTATGTTAGTCTATTCCTTATTTTACATTTGCCAGGAGGAAAACAAGGGAAAAAAAAAAGTTTTAGAATTATACTGCACACATTAATAAAGCTCTTCTGGTCTCCCCAGTTCCCCAGGTTAAACAAGCACAAGCTCTTGGAAAGATGACTACATTTACTTAAAAGGAGTTTTCCAAGAGATGAATTTATTTCTCCTGGACCTAGTATAATACTGAAATTGGCAAGATGGTTGAAGCACATCACAGAAAGACAGTCTCAGACTAGTTTTGATAGACACAGTATCACCATAGATAAGGATAGAATGTTATACAATGGAGTGGCTTAAGGACATTATTTCAGATATTTCTACTTTATTCTGTGATGTTACTCATTTTTATTTATTTTTGAAGTAAGAGCTTTCCAGAACACTTATCATAATGAGGAGGAACACTGTTCTAGTGACAATCCCATCTACACAAGATTCGGAGCTTCCCTTCCAACCTCCGACAACTAGAATGCAGAAGAGTATCCTTCTCGAACTGCTCAACATTACCTCATGTTATCTGCTCAGTAACAAGGCCTTCTATTTTCTAGTTTAGGAAGTACACCACTAAGTGGAAGAAATACAGTATTAGGTACAAATTTCTTTACAAAGCTACAAGCAACATGAAATTTTACTTCATAAAGGCCGTTAATTTCAGTAAGTAATTTTGAATATAAAATTTAGTTCAAAAGTTTAGTTTGACCTGTTCTGCTGTTCAGTAAGGAATCTAAAGTTATCACCTTACTTTTAGGCTAGCTGAAAAATTGTTTTGATTTCACCCAACATACCAGCCTAAACTAGCTTTCTGAAACAACAAGTCCCTGGCCCACTCACTGCTAGGTTATAAAAAACAGTAGGAAAGCTGTTATTGAGTACTGTATAGGCATGCAAAAGCAAAAGAATTACTTATGTTGTATCAGCATTTGGTCATAAAAGTGGGCTTAGCTCACTTGTCTTAATCTAAGCTTCAACAAATATCTGAGGAAGTACTCTTTCATTAGGACTATGAAATTATGATTTGTTTTATTGTTTAGCAATGTCTGAAGATAATAAAGCCTCACTTGAAATTTAAAAGGGCAAGACAATACAGATGGTTAGATTTACATCAGCACAGACAATGCAGAAAAAAAAAAAGAAAAGAAAAAAAGCGTTATCAATGCAAGAACAGCAATGCAGAAGCTATGAATTCTACATTTAGGCTTACCAGGTGAGGTTTCCCAATAAATTTTCTGAAAGGTGGTTTAATGAACCTCATAGGCTTTTGGAAGCCATCAACTTGTGAGTTGTGTAATTTTGAAAGACTGCAGCTTTCGTGGTTCCTGATGTGTATATGAGAAAGAGAGAAAGAAAACAAAATCAAAAACCATAGTGTACCAAATTCCTACACTGTAAGCAGGCCTGGATGGCTAGTCATTGCTGCCCTCTGCTGGTTGAAATGCTTCCTGCATGGCAGCAGCGCTGTATTGCTTACATAGTTACATACTGTTACCTTTACAGTTTTTATACTGTTATCTTTACAGTTTTTATACTGTTATCTTTACAGTTGCACAGAACTTTCCTTTTCATGAAATCCCAAATGCAACAGAAGCTCAGATAAACAGCTACACGCTCCAGTTTCATCCTCATCAAACAGGGTGTTCCTGGCTTTGGGCTTTTGCTTACTTGGGTTTTATTCTTTAACTCAGCACACTGCTACTACAGAAGTGCCTGTAAACCTCTAAAAAAACCCATATACCGTGAAAAGTAACCACCAGCTGTCAAAAATCAGAGCTCACGAGATACACAGAAACAGTTTCCATAGCTGTAAAATAAATTTCTAAAGTAAAGAGGCACACTGGACTAGCTCATAGGTATTGCCAGTATCCCATATAGGAACTACTAAAAATCCCAGTCTCAGGAAAATTGTACTCATTTTTCATACCATTATTGCCCTCAGCCCACATTACATTGTCCACATTACTTTGACACTATAAGCCCTCCTCACACTGAGCTTCAGGACAGCCACACTTGCTAGAGAAACGTGTACTTCCCACTTTGACTGGCACACACAAAAGGTAAGCAAGACAGTAACAGGGGGATTGCAAAAACAACAACAAACCAACCAACCCTATCCAAATAACCAGGCCAAACATACACTAAAGCCATAACCCCAAGTACACAAAAAGCTATATGCAAAAGTCCAACATGCTCCCCCAGGCACACTTAATAACTTCTACCTTTTTGCTTGTTTATTTATTTAAAAGAATCTCAAGTACAAGAACTGTTTCTTCTGCAGCTTCAGAAGCCAGCTTTCCCAAATGTGTGCATTGCCACTATCTGCCATTATAGACTGCATTTAAAATGAACAACAGCAGCACATTAAGAATGATCTGCAAATCATGACTACAGTGTAAACACGTTTTGTTACACTTTGGCAATTCTTTAAATCAACATTTCTTCTAACACAAGTCAAGTCATCTCTCAGCATCAAAAGTGAAACAGGATGACTGAGGTTAGTAAACACTTCTGAGGCAAACCCCTTTAACAAAACTGCTGGAGGAATTCAAAGCAGTAAAGCCACTCCAGAAATCTAACTTTTCTTCACAGAATTCTCCAAGAATCAGAAAAAAAAACCAATTTTTTGTTGATATTCCACATTACATTACAAAACAACCAAGGCAACTCAACAACATATTCATCCTCGAAAGGCTTTTATGAAACTACAGAATACCAAAAGAATGGTGTTATATGGTACATCAAGGAATGTAAAAAAAATTAAGCATCTTTAAATTTATTTCTTTCCCCTCTTTCCACTCAGTGGTACAGTTTGAGCTTGCTTTCCATTTTTTTCCCCTCCGCAGCTTAACCTCTTTCAAGGTAACACTCCATTACAGAGTGGTTTGCAATGTATGTCAGCTGACTTTCAGTCGGAGTTAAACTTAACAAGGACAAACTATGGAAAAGAATCACAACAAATGTGAACATAACTTTGGCAGGGCCAAAAAATGAATGTAAGAGAACTAGAGGCTTGGCACAAGATGACTCATTTGCCAATTACCTTGGAGTTACACCATCTAAATGAAACACTCTCTCATCTTCATTCTTCAGCCTCTCTTTTCTTCTCCTTTCTATATCATGCCGTAGATCATTTGGATCTTCTAACACTCTTACAATGTTCTAGTTAAGAGGAAGGGTTAAAGTCAAGTTAGCTAGTAGTAACTAAACACTGATTTGACTCTTCTCTGATGTGACATCCTTTGGGGACTGCATCCTGCACATAACCTTGTTAATATAGTTCAACTGTTACACAGGATGGATTCACATCAGCCCAAAGATCCAAAGTCCAAAATAGTATCAAAAAGTAGTCCTAAACAATTATCCTTTCTTGCACCATCTGCTTTTTTACAAGTTTCCAAACAACAGTGAACAGAGCTCTGGAATTCTGCATGGAGTTGCCAAGGGAAAAATACTGACATGAATTCCAGTAAATCTTAAAAAGTTCTGCTATTCTTACTAATCTTCGTTGAGTTTAATTGCCTCATACCTGTACTATAGAAGAAGAACAACAAAAAAGTAACTATCACAGTAAGCATAGCTTGGAAGGGGAAGACAGAAACTCTTATATCCCCGGATGAAAGCATGGAATAAAATAGCATTCTAAGGAATTACATGGATGTCGGGCCATCCTAACATTAGGGTACAAGAAACATTAAGGCTTTTCCTTATCTCAGAGGTAAAGCCACATGTCAGTCACCTATTTAGTACCTACATTATTTAAAAAAAGATAGGAGATGAAGCAGCAGGAATCACCATACCCCAGCTACTCTGGAGAACACACCTGCACTTTACTCAGTGAACAGAGTACATATACTCCCACCATTATTCTGTCAGTAAATATGCTTGAGTGTGCATTTCTCTCAAAATGGTCAGCATTACTGATGGCCTTCAAAACATGTAGAAGTAATGCACCAATAGCAAGGGGAGATTTTGCTTACTTTATATTATTTTAACTTACTGTGTGCCAGAAAGGTTAAGTAATCAAGATACCTGGGGAGATTCAGATGGCACAGTTCTTTTGTTCTGAAGTTCTGCTAGAGACATGTCAATCCTCCTGTAACACAAAAACATTCCATAAAACCAAGCGCCACCACTATAAATAGCAAAAGCATTTATTAAACCAAATACAGAACTTTTTAGAGACTATGAGCAAGCAGGTTAGAGTCAGTGAAATTTATATTGTCTAAAGTTTACCGAAGATTAACTACCTTAATGGAAATAAATTAAGGCAAAAAAACACATCAATCACCTGTGAATTTCTGGATCCAAACGTGTTTTCACTTCATTCATATTTTCAGCTGGCTTATCCTTAATTTTTGAGAACCGCTCATGTAGAGTTATGTCAGAAGATGTAAAATAATTTGCTGGGAAGAGATTAAATACAAGAATGTTTGTTTGTAGTAACTTAAAATGCACAGTGGGTAACTGTATCTTGTAAAAGACTAACTCTTAAGGGCACCAAAACAACTTCTGAAATTAGAATTCAAACTATTTCCACTTGCAGTTTAACACTCACAAATGAGAGACTAGGCCAGCTCAACTTATCCCAACTTATATGTAATAAGATTAAGCTCAATAGGAAGTTCACTATTTGTCAGCTTTACCACAGTAGTACTCCAATGACTAGTCTATAAATAACATTCAACACTGAACGTGATGCAGCAGTCTAAACACTAATCTGAAAAATTAAAGGAACTATATATAAACTATCAAGTTGTGACTACAGCAAAGCTCCTCTCTGGATACTGGAGAGGGACTCTTCATCAGGGACTGTACTGATATGACAATGGGCAATGGGTTTAAACTTAAAACAGGGGAAGCTCAGGTTAGATATAAGGAAGAAGTTCTTTACTGTGAGGATGGTGAGGCACTGGAATGGATTGCCCAAAGAAGTGGTGAATGCTCCATCCCTGGCAGTCTTCACAGCCAGGCTGGACAGAGCTTTGGGCAACATGGTCTAGTGTGAGTCATCCCTGCCCATGGCAGGGAGGTCAGAACTAGATGATCTGAAGGTTCTTTCCAACCCAAACCATCTTATGATTCTTGTTTCCTAAACAAGCAGGTTAGTCTTAAGTACAAGCATAAAATCTTTTCAACCTTAACACTCCACAGTAAGGCCTGTTATGGACTGAGACCTTCTTAAAATCTTTCCCCACCCAAGTACTTTAAATTTTCACCCTACAGTTTCCTTACTATAGAATGAAGACAAAATACAAATGAAATCAAAGGAAAACACCCTGTACGTACAAGGACAGCATACCTAATTCATTAGATTTGGTTTTAATAATTACAAATGTACAAACACATACATATACCCCAAATATCACAGCCACCTTTAACTTGATGGATAATTGTGATTATTTCCTGAGTAAATTCTCTTGACGGGTCATTTTCAACATTTTGTATAACAGATTCCATGTGCTCAAACACCGGATGAAAATTTTCAGTTTTCCTGCCAGCAGCAACAAGATCATGGGACATCTGTCTCTCTGTAGTATGACAAGAAGCACTCCTAGAATAAAAGGTTACATATATTCACTTTGAAAGAATTCACTGTATTAAAACTTCAGATAGATAAGAAGAACAAAAAAAAAATAAAATTAAGAAATTAATTCAAGGAATCGATGTGATGAAAACTGAAATCTCATTTTGTTAATTTCTTTTTAATTAAATAAAAAAAAGCTCATAAGACCATAAGGAAGAAAAGCTCTAACAAAATACAAAGAGGTACGACTACACTCTCAGGAATCCTTGTTCCAGTGAAGTATGGCATACAAAATCTGTAAATTGAAACTTAATTAATCTAGATCATCAAATAAAGGCAAATGAAGATCCTGATATACTACTTTAATATAATTCGGGAAGGCAATTATGTGTGTCTTTGTTTATAAGGAGCTAACAGACAATTTTCAAGAACAGGTCAGAGATTTACAAATCTCACGGAATCTTTGGGAACTGAATCATCACTTGAGCCTCGTGAAACAGCTTTCCAGTGGCAGCGTGTGAACTTAAGGACATGTTTAGAATCCCTTTGTGAAATTCTACTCATTCCAAGTGTTTATGCCCCAAATGGTTGCACTGCTGCTTAAGAATTATTTTGACAAGGAAGCTAACACTTCAGAAATCCTGCTTGTTTCAAGAAAAATGCTCGTCCCTTGGAAAGATAAATTGAGAACTCAAACAGCCCATGTAAAAGCTTTAGGGTAAAGACTCTATTACTGTGCATCCTGCAAAGTGATCATGTGCCTGCCCATCCTGTATTTGAAACAAACAAGACTGGGATTTCATACAAAAATTGTATCAGAAATAACCTCTACAGGTGTTTGTTAAATGCCTGAAGTAGCAGCACAAATATTCTCAGTCATCAGCTTCTGTATAATTAGTGTTCCTGTCTTTAAAAAATAAGGTATTTAGCATTTCTGACCATGGAAGCAAACCTTCCTCACATTAAACTGTCTGTAATCAATGTAGTAATTTTAGTCGGTCTGTAAATAATTACCACATCCACTGCATAACTTTTAAAATCAGCAGCAAGAGACTTACTAGATACAGGAGCTGTCCTCAGGGCTTGCAACAAAACCTAACGATAATTATTTTCCTTACATTATCATTCAAGCAGTTAAATGCTTTCCTAGCACAGTGGTGGAGGGTATTACTCCATTTACCCTTCCTTAGTCTTTAATATTAGGCCCTAATATACAAAGAGCAACTTTTCTTTACAGATCCCCATTGTATCACATGTTCCTGAAGCACTGGAAGGAAAATAAATACACAGATGTTTTATTTGGGACAAGAGAGAAAATACCTTTAAAATGAAGCCTGATAGTTTTGGAAGAGAAGGTAATTCCTCCCAAAAGGGGTTACTGCCACTATAGGATTCTGGCCTGCAACAGTAAGGCAACAAACCAGAAAAGCCTGCAAAAATCTACACGAACCAAGCTCCTTACTCTCTACCATGTATCCATCATCTAAATCTTCATAGCAGGACCACTTTTTTCCCAAATCAGTCACACTGGGAACGCTAAACACAACCACAGGTATTGCACAGAAGACAGAAGCAGACTCTACTGCTTATCAGTTCTAATGCCTCAACAGATTGCCATTTGATTTCTTAAAACAATAAATAACAAAACCCAGGGAGCAATCATTTTTGACAGCTTTATTGAACTTCAGATCTTGAACACCTGAATGTGTGTGCCTGAGATTTATGTAATTTAAAGGTTATCTGCTTTTTGGAAGAAATGAGGGATGACTCAGGTAGTCAAGAAAATGCAATCATATTCCAGAAAAAAACACAGTTAATATTTTAAACTGGGAAAGTTAATATTTTAAACAAATCTAAAAAGGTACAACCTTAATTTGTTCTGGTTACCTCATCAAGAAACCATGCTTTTCTCCAACATTCATAAACTGTAAAGAGACTGGGAAAAAGAGGTGGGGGGAAATCAGTACCTGTACTTGGCCACCATTTTCTTCATATCCACTTTGATTGTGAGATGTTCCCTCTTAGAGTTGACATCTGACATTTTCACATCTGAAACAGTATGATTTGAATCATGCTGGATATTGGAGGAATCTACTTTTTTCCTGAATTCCCCTTCTTTCCTTACTCTTTCCTTCGGTTTGTTTTTAAAAGATCTCAGATCAACATCCATTTTGGAGGAGTTAATGCAAGCATTGCAGCCCTTCTTTGAACTATATTTAACAGGTGCTTCAACATGCCCTTCTTCAGTCCGTCTCGCTCTTCCACTGCTAAAGTAATCTAACTCTTTGCTATTCCGGGCACCCTTAGAAGAACCATATTTCTGGTCTTCCTGCTTCACATACTTCTGAGCTCTATCGTCTGAAAAAGGCTTTTCCCCCTCCAGATGCCTTCGCCGTTTGTGACTGTACTCATAGGCTATCTTTGCGACAGAACCCTCCGAGTACTCCCTTTCAGCCGATCGGTGGGACTGGGCACCCAAATTTCTCTGCTCCTCCTTTTCTTGGTAGGGTGGAAAAGAACGTTCTTGCTCCCACGTGGAATTTCTTGCTACTTCTCCACCGTCATACCTCTCCATTTCTTTAGCCCTTTTAGACGTGTGCCCATATTCTCTGTAATCGTGATCTTCAGGATACCTGTGTTGACATAAAGCAATTTACACTTGCACTAGAGAAGAAAGTGAGAACTTATATGTGCAGAATGTTGGACAGCAGAATGCGTGGCAAGTTAACCCATAATCCCTCACGCCAAGGTACAGATGTGCAGGGGCTCTTAAGAGGGAAATATTATTCTTTCATACTCTAGCCATCAATATGATATACTTAAAAGACAAATACTTCACTACTACCAGTCGCCCATAATTAACCTACAAAGTGGCCAACGTGTTTCAAGGTGGATATCTTCAACTATAATGAAAACAGACTTTCACTTGAGGCTTTAAACCACAATACCCAGGTTTTAATTATTTTATTCCTATACCTCTTCTGTAAAGAGCTCCTTGCCGTAAATTCATCAGAAACTCTTCTGGGTGACTGACCATACTTCTCTTCATGTAACCTCTGGTGCCTCAAGTCATCTTCATGCCATTTTCTTTCAAGTTTACATGAAGCCCCTAATGGTCTATGAAAAGGTTTCATTCCTTTTTCATTTCCAGTGAGCTTGCAGTGCTCAAACATGTATCTGTCTTCCATTTTGTGTTGGTAAAATGGACGATCATGATCTTTATATGGTATTTCTGAGTATTTTGGTGGTAACTGGCATCTCCTACTGCTTTCAGTTCTTTCAGATGAATGTGTTCTGTAGGGCTTATGACTGTAAGTATCTTCCATGGGAATTCTTTTTAGGCTTGGTGAAGGTGATCTACGTTCATATATTCTCTGGTGGTTATTTCCATGAGGTGCAAACCTGAAATTACTTTGTCCATATTTTTCATCTTCTATTCTCCAAGGCATAGGCTTCTTTGGGTCCTTACGAAAGCTTTTATATTCACAGTCATAATTAATATGAGCATGCCTTTGCCTATGGTGCTCTGGACTCCTAAATGCTGGAGATAAGGACCTACGGCAAAAATAAAAACCGCTTTGAGTAGTCTCATAAAACTGAATCAACTCTTAATAACCATAGCTATTCCCTAAGGAAGTACAGTTTAATACACAATTTTAATCAACTGGTAAAAAAAATTAAAACCAAGCTATTCAAAGTGTCATTTGCTTGGCTAGAGTATCAAGCCTACTTTTACTCTGTGGAAAGTTTTCACAGTAAGAATACCCATTCAAAATAGTAGTAAGTCAATCACTGTTCTCTTGGTATATTTTCACTTAAAACTGAAAATAATTTCATATATATGAAGTTTCCACTACATTGAAGACAACTGTTATACACATTTTCACACTTTCAAGCATTCCCCGTATTTTTCCAGTGCCAAGAGAAAGAAGGGGAAAGGGCAAAAAGCATATGAAGAAATGGAGGGGAAGAAATAACAAAAACAGCAACCTTTTCTAGTTCTTTTGCATGACAAAACCACCTCAAAAACTGAAAACATTATAAAATATTATATTTAAAATATCACACAGGCAGAAAAGATCAAGTTTGAGAAAGAGGTTTTGGTCTTTCTGTATAATTGTGTATACACATACATACATCTACACACATGTATACATACGCACTTCCACACTTATTACAGTTTTTGCTTTTAAAGACTGAATTGCTAAGATCCACTTAATTGAACCAAATCAGCTTTGCGTTTTCTCCTGCAGTTACAGAAATGAAAGCAACCCGCTAGGAATTTTTAGCCAAAGTCTCCTTAAATGAAGAAAAACAGCACAAGCCACTAGCAAGAACCAGAAAGCCATCCCCAGGCATAACAGTTCTGCCTGTGCCCCACCCCTGGCAGTGCTTAAGACTAGGCTGGACAGGGCCTTGAGCAATCTGGTCTAGTGGAAGGTGTCCCTGCCCATGGTAGGGGGGTTGGACTTGGTGGTCTTTAAAGTCCCTTCCAACCCAAACCACTCTGTGATTCAGCGTATACTCCCAATACACTCTTTAATAAAACCAAAGAATATAAGTTGAAAAAAAATTCAAGGAAGTCACTTTCTTTGTCCACGTATTTCAAATGTACAATTTGCCATAACTTTTTTGCTCTTTTTTTGCATAAAGGCTCGAACTCAGAACCACAGCTCTTTACAAAACTATAGTGGCTAACTTCCAATAGTGCCCATACTGCTGCTCCCACCCCACCTTGGCCTGCATTTTAGTAACAGCTGGGGCATTCCTCCCTGCTCTTCACTAGAAGGACATATTCCAGACTATCAATCTAGTATGGAAGTAGACAGGATTAGTCTTTTAAAAAACAAAGAAACAAAAGTCCCCACACATTTTTCTTTGCTATTCAATAAACTCCCTTTGTCTTGGTCATCACAGCTTCATTAGTCCATATAGAAAAGAAACCCAAAACCAACAGAAAAGTAGTTTCAAGCTCTTGAAAGCACAAAATTGCATTCTAGCCTCCTTTAAAAACTCAAAATTGCAGCAAGTCCTAAAGATTAGGTAGGTAACTAACAGCATGCAGTAACCTAGATGTTATTCTGGTGACAAACACTACTAGGCTACTGTCCAAAAAGAAGGGCACTGACTCCCATTATTTTAGTCTGTGTTACGCTGCAAGGCAAATCTAACTGCGCTAAAAATCAATTTGTGGATCAGCCCCAAAGGCTCAGAAAGCCTGAAGTGTTTGAACAAAGTAGTATTTTCTGGCCCTCCCTGTAGACCATAAGTGAGTTACAGACAGTAAGTGCACCAGGTGGTGTTTGAGTAAAAATAACCTGAACGAGTTTGGTGCTTGGATTTTGTGCTTAAAGTAGTTCCAAAACATGTGAATTGAGCAAGGTTCCTGGCAGACACCAAAACTAACACCTCCAGCTTTAAGAAGAAAAAAATCATAATAAAATTGTAATTTGGGAAAAAAAAAGTTACATGTATTTAGTTTGGAAAAAAAAAATACACCTTATAAATAGCAACTCTGGGTGCAGTTTTCTTTCTTTACATCAGTTTTAAGTTCTAATTAGTAGTACCTACATAGAGCTACATTTCAGAACACAAGTTATAAATAAATATTTACCTTGGTTTCCACCGTGGTGATCTTGATCTGGATCTTGTCATCTTCTCTCATGTGTTTACGTGAGTTTCTTGAAGCTGTAAAAATGATACAATTTACTAATCTGGTAACAGAATGGTACTACAGATTGCAGCAGAGATGGCTGTTCTTAACAAGTGTAGTATTAGATGCTTCAAAGTCAGGGTGAGGCATATTTTAGCATGTTTTACTTTTACCTCTAATTCCCATTTTAAGACAAGTAACTTTTTCCTGACTTCTGATTTTAAAGTACAGCTTATTTTCTTTATAAAGATTTAAATATTTGACCACCACTCCCTTTTCCTCTCCATTTTGCAATGCTGTCTATTCACTTTGGATTTAAATGCTAATAAACTCACAAGTAAGCTGCAGCAGCTGAAATAAATGCTGTAATTGTTAGTATGCGTTGAATGCCACAGATGATAGAGGGGAGAGACAGCTTTAAAACCAATTTACAAAGAAAAATGGTCTTGCATCAAGTTATATTCTTCACATACACTGAAATTCAAATTTGTAATACGCACTGATATATTTTTATAGTTACAGATCTCCTGTAAGCTTTAACTGTTCTATCAATACTTAAATGCTGTATCATCATGCACTTCATCCATGTACGTAAAAAAATGTGCAAAAGATCACTTCTCATTTTTATACATTCCTTGTTAATAACCTACTACCTAGACACACATTTAAATATACAACGGATGCACTATGACAGAAAGCACTGCTTCTAAATCCTGGAAGCAGCTCTGTGCATCCCTTCTCATAAAAGCTACAGAAGAATGACAAAAATACCCATGGAATCTACCCTTCTTGCTCTTCTTTGCAAAAAAAAAAACTGTTAAAAATTCAGAAAACAAGCAATGAAATTATATGCAAACTCACCAGTAATGTGGCTGGTGAATAGGAATGAAATTATTATTCATTATTTAACAAGCACAAGGATTAAAACAGAATAAAGTTACTAGGTAAGTGGTTAAAAGTAGGAACTTGGACCACATACCCCTGCCTACAGCTCCTACCTACCACAAGATGCTCTAAAGGCCAGAAATATAAATAGATACAAAAACAGATCCATCAACAGCTCTGAAATTAATGAACAAGCAGTCACTTGAAACTGGAAGAATGTTCCAGGTCAATGTCACTCTATGTGCTTTGGCATTTTCTGTAATTATTTGCTCAAAGACTCACACTCATGGAACAGAAAACTAGTCTGGACTGGCCAAGTATGGCCTTTTTGACATTCCTACTGCTCAAATAATTTCTGCAACTAAATCTTTTACCTGAACAACCAAAAGGGAAGAAAAACCAGCAAGCTTTAAGACACAGAAGAAACTGGAGAAGTAGCATGCACCCACATGCCTGACCCAGTGCCTCACACTCCCCTCAATCATGGTAATTGGTCAAATAAAATATTACCCCGTGCTATATCCATTTGTATGATTAGCTCATGGCTAAACCAGCAGTACCTTGCAGAAGAATACATGCAGAGCATGCTTCTGATGTCTACTACCACAGGTAGACGTTACAAAAGCGACCCACTACATTTCAGAGTGATTCTGGAAACATTCATTTATTGCTTATTAAGTTGCACCATAAACTAACCAGACAATTATTTGCAAGACACAGCAACAGCTCAGTTCTGGAGAAAGCCTTCTTGAATTTACCTTTTTAAATCTCAGAAGTCCTGTTTACCAGGACAGCATTTGCTCTGCAATGAATCTTTCCATGTGACAAAGCACGACAGGGAAGCAAAAAAAACCCAAACCCAAAGTACCCCAAAGACAACATATATTTGTTCCCTGAATTTTCAAATATGAAGTTAGCATTTCCTCTTGGGCTCTAAAGGCATGCATCTGAGGACTGCATGGCATGAATTAACTTCAGGCCCTTTGCTTACTCGGAGATTATATTAGCCAAAGTTAAATATGATGTCCCAATGCCAGTACTCATTAAATATTATTTTTCATAGAAAAGTAATATTGTGACCAAAATACTTTGCTTTTTTCTCACCCATAAAAAACACATCTTACCAAACTGAACAGTATTTCAGAGACAAAAAAACAACACCCCCTTGGCTAATACATCTCAATAACAGTGTTCAACATTCACTACTACGCTCTCTTCTTGTAAGCTTTAAAAAGTGACAGTGTTTTATGTGCCGTTCAAAATCTTTCTATCTTCCCTTCAGTTCTGAATTTTATCCTTTCTTTTCAAGTGACTATGTAAGCACCAAAAAGACAAAAGTACCATTAAACCCAACCATTGTACAGAACCTGGTCTACCAGAATCTCTCATCGCAGACCAATCAAGCTAAAACCTGAATATATATAATGAGTTTCTTTATTCTTCCTAGACTGGCTGGACAATCATACTAAAAGCACAAAAGGGTCTGTGACAGCATGTCCTAGATATTGCCTTAGGATAAAGAGGACTACTGTAATTTTCATCGAAGACAATCCTTTTGTTTACTAGAAAGACAGCGTTCATCTGTTTCAATGCATCTCCTAAAAAGTGACCCACACAATACGGTTTCCTCACTGCAAGATTCGAGATGCAATACACAGCATATGAAGGCAGCAGACACACTCGTCCCCAATCAAGACTCCCAGTGTAACTAAATCACAAAAGTGATTTCTATATAGAATTTGTAAGCACATTGCTAAATTCAGTTCTAAATCACTTCTCTCAGACCAACAATACGGCTCCGTCCCAAAAGCAAGCTTTTTGTAGGATGGCGCTGGGTAGGAAGTGATTATAGCAGAATTACCTGAACTAGGCAAAGGCCCTACAGTTCCCAAGGTAGCCATCCAGCAGCCAGGTCCTGTTGGAGCAGAAGTATCAATACGGATTCTGAATTTCTCCAAGTCCTCCCCCTGTACTTTAAGGGATGGTGTCACTATGAAAATACGAAAAGCTATCTTTTTTTAACTAGGAAGCAATATTATTACAATCACAGCGCTGCTTGTGCTTGTTTCATTACAATAAGTAACTCATTGGAGGAGTTATCAGTAACCATGCTTAGGTAGTTTTTAAATATTAATGGAAACCCCAGCTTTTCTTTTCCTTGACTTTTGGAATTGAAAGCAGCTCACAAGAAATGGCCTCAAGCCTGCTTCCAGCTCTCCTTTGATTCCACACTGGAGAGATCAGTGCTTTGACAAGTGTGAATTTTTTGTACTATCCATCTACTACAAACCTAAGAGGAGTATCTTGAGACACAATTTGAAAATGACCAGAAATTGTACAGGAAGTGCAACCGAACACAGGTTCTATCAGAAAGGCTATACCATTTAAACAACTTGCTCTCCTGAACAGAACAACCTTCAACCTCCTTGATTTTCCCCAGCATGAACTACAAGAAACCACAAATGACTGCAGTCATTTAGCTGAATGGAGGGGAACTGGAGTTCTTCCTAAGGCAAAGAGCCACACACCAGCAAGTCCCAAACAGCTAAAACCTTGCAGATAAGACTGAGCAGTAGTAGTTAACTCTCCTGTAAACAGACCATAAATATGTGGATTGTTTTTTCAGGGTTCCTTCCATCACCTACAATAGGTCATGGAAGAAACTACACAGGACACAAAAAGCAGTTCAACAGCAGTTGACCTGGAGCTGCTCTTCAACTGCTATTTCACCAATAGTGAAGGGAGATGCAATTCCTCACCCTTCATAAGGGATTGCTCAACCGTTCTTGCCACTGCCTCCCAAATCTTTTAGAGAGGAGGAAAGGATAAGCAAGTCTTTCATAGGCTGGGTCACACAGCAGGCAGGAAAACAGACACTGACCTGTGCTGCAAAAACTACCCAGCTCGCTATTCCCTCATTCTGCCCAAAAACATAAGCAGCAGCTATAAGCTTTTCATTGACTGTCTTCTTGGCAGAGATCAACTGGAAGCTGCAAGGGACATGCCAAAGCATGTAATGCTGCAGTGGCTGTCAAGAAAGAGAAACCAGGAACTGAGAATCTCATCCCTAAAACAGCCAAGTATTTGACAGAAATGCAATCAAATTAAAAGCTCAGCTGCACTCCAGGCTTAAAAAGAAAGGGAAAGATCTTGAAGGCTGCAATAGAGAACTCATTTATGCTCTTCTTTAATGAGAAGTACAGAATTGGCAACTTTTCTAGTAGATAAGTTGTTTCAAAGGCTGTCCCATGTAGCATCCACCCCAGCCACTGTCTAAGCAAGGCACTAGCCTGGTATGTTCTTGTCCATTCAGCTTTCAGGCGAATCTTAGAACCTCCAACAGCAAATGCCCAAGAAAGACTGTAAGAACAGAAACATCACCTAGCAACTCACATGGATGCTTCTGAATCTGCAACAGGACTTCACATCTCCTTTAACCAATGCTTCATAGACTAGCTAGGGTACCATTACCACAGGCAGAGGGTCCCAGTGCTGCACTGGCCACACATACACCCATTTTCCCCTGACTTTTCTACCAAACACCTTCAACCTCAAAACTACAACTCCCACCTGGCACCTTCGTCCACCATCCCCAACCCTGAAAGTGCTGGAGGTAATATGTCAGAAAGTGCACAGCACAACCCTGTCCCATGCTCCAGCACCACTGCCCCAGCACCAAAGTAATGTCTGGAGCAGAGTTACAGCTTTGCCAGCCCACATAGGTGACTCCCAGCATAAGGCATACTACCTCAAGGCAGGACAGATATAACAGGTTTGAAGACTATGAGCTACAGGGACACGCACCCTGGCTGAGGGGGGTGTGTGAGGGGTCCTGGCGAAATGTGCCACCACCCAAGGAGCGCAGTGAGCTCCAATGCTCACATTTGTCAGCTCAGGGACTGGGCCTCTGGCCTCCAGAAACCACACCCACTGCAGATCTAGAGAACTTTTTGTCCTCCTTCTCAGCTTTATCCTTCTTCTTTGGCACCAGCTGGAGAAGGCGGCTTTATGCAGGTTGTATCCCAATACCAAGGGTTGTTAACAGAGAGCCAAGCCTCATGCTGGCGAGGTAACCATCCCATGGAGGGGCAGCATGCCAGCATCACTCTCCTCTGCTTGCTATACAGAGTAGACATATAAAAATTATTACATTCACAGTAGGATGAAAGCCTACTACAGAAAGCACAGGCATAAGCTTAAGCATACAGTATGTCTTAATGGACCACTACAATTTTAAGTAATTCCTTAGGATACACAGAAAGTATTTCCCTGCATATTTGAACAAAAGAGTAAAAATAACTGAGTAGATCTACTGATCATGTAACTTAAGCTCAGCGTGCTCTCATTTAAAGCAACTCATTTAACGGCACTAATTAGCAGGCAATACCTCACCTTTGCAGAAAAACAGATTACAATGCCAACTTGGAAAGACTGAGCAGGATAAAACTGCAAATCTGTATCACATAATAAATTAAATATTTCACTATCTTTCACTCTCAAACACTTTTTTTTTTAAACACAAAAACCCCAAAACCCATAAATGTATTGGTGTTCTATTTCTATAATACTCTGAATTAAAGGCCTTTAAAACACATCTGTTACAGAGCCTGAAATGTCATAGCACCATCCTCAACCACTTCTGCCTACCAGTTTATAAGGGGACATCAGAAGTATTAAATCTCGCCCTGTCATAGTCCCTAAGACAAACCACAACAACTTCCTGCCTACTGAAAGCTCTAAACCATGTACAAACCATGATGGAGACCTTCACTTTTTCACCCTAAGTCACAAAACCCAAAAAAATCCCTTATTTATTCAGAATCAGCAATGCCATACACCACTGCTGCCAGGAGGCTGCGAGGCCCAGGCTGCCTTGCCCAGCCACACCAGAGAAATAAGCTCTCGCTGGAAGCCTCCCAGCATGCTTCCTCCCTTCCCTGCAGACAGCAAGTGCCTGCTGCCACTGGAGAGGAAAAGCAAACCCAACTGCATGCAACTACACTGCTAGCCAGCTTGCTGCGACACCAACCCTGCCTACATTACCTCCTGACAGGTGAACACCCACAAGGCAAGGCTGCACCAAAATCAAGCCCATCTCAGCGCAGGCGGATGGAGAGTTGATCACTCTTACAAAAGCGGTGGCAGAAATACCAGTTATTTTGCTGAAGGCAGATGTGGAGGAGTGCATGGACACTTCACTTAGACAGACAGCTGTTTATCAGGTTAACAGGGTGTGCCTTTAAAGGAAGTTAATTAATTTCACCTCTCCTCATCAACACCAATATTAAAACAAAACACCAGAAAAACACTCTTAGCTTCTGATTAGTCCTTCAGAGTGGAGAAATGAAAACAAGGGGAAAGACTTAGTCATCCCTGTTCTCTGTCCCTCGCTGCCCAGCCCAGTGTCTCACAGGCTGCCACAACGTTGCTTCTGTCACCAGAGATCCTTCCATTCCTTTTGCATAGTTCTTCCCCTCCCTTCCTGGCATCCTTCTCCATGCCCTTCCTCCAGCCATCCACACCCAGCAAAACTTTCACACAACATTCACTTTTCCTTGAGGCTCACAAACACAGAAGGTAACCAGGCAATTAAAATCTCCCAGCAATTTGAGTAGCCTTTGGTTTAAACCCTATTGCAATTCAAGAACCTGTATTGTATTTACAGGTGACTTGGGGTGTTTAATAATTGCAGTAAAAATTAGGTGCTGCTGCTCTGGATGGAGCTGAGCCAAGTGAGGAAACTGCTATCACTGATTCCTCTCAAGACACTACTGCTTCCTCAGATGTGTATGAATAATGGTGTATAATCAGTCAAATCAACCCAAGAAGTACCAAAAGCCACAGATCTGGTCAAGTCCAATTCATTTTGCTGAATGTGAATTAAGCTAGACACAAAAAGCAAGATGTGACTGCTGTACAAAGAACTATACTGCTTTTAAGCTATTATAAACACACTAGCTGGTGTAAATCTGTGTGTGACAACATGGAAATTGCTAGGAACAGGGACTGCTGGTTTTTATTATGCCTTGTTCACCTCAGAGGAAAACGCTGTCCTTATGCTATCAGCAAGCAGCAACCTCAGCCCTGCTCTGCTGCTCACGCAGGGGCCTCAGAGCAAAGGGCTTTCTGGAATCATCAGGACACGGGGGGCACAGCGCTGACAGCCCAAAGGCGTCTCGTTCCGCCTGCTCCATGCTTTGTTCTTGGCCCTCCCAAGCCCCGCTGAATGCTCGCATCGTGCCACAAAATACACACGCACTTATGTGCATACACATATATGTAAGCACACGTAGCGACCCGGGCACACACGCGGTGAGAGGTGGGCTACAGACACCACTGCTCCAGGCCACCCAGGCACCAACAGACCCGAGATGGGTGCAGCAGCCCACCTCCGCAGCACACACCGCCGCCGGCCATAGCCGCCTGGATCGACGAGGGGAACCAAAGCGGCACGTTCCGGCCGCCTCTCGGGCCCGCCAGGCCCTTCACTGGACGCTGCAGGAGGCGGGGCAGCTCCGCGCACCACAGCCCGGCACAGCAGCCCCAGTGCCTGGCCCGCTCCTTCCCAACCGCCAGGGCGGGGGTTGGCCCCATCCGGTGTCGGGCGCGCAGGCGGCACTGACAGGGACAATGACCGCTACCGGGCCCCGCGCACCCACCTCCCGCTCCGCCACACGGGCCAGACCCCGCACCCTGCCGCCCGCCCGAGCGGGCGGGGCCTGACCAGGCCCCATCAAGGCCGTGGGGCCGCCACCGGCCCCACACTCACCCCCAGCGAGGCCGCCTCTAGAGCTGCTGCTGCTGCTTCCGCCGCCGATGCCTCCCGCCACCCTCTCCGGCCGCAGCCGCTCCGCCCCGAGCAGGTGCCCGGCGAGGAGGCGGGGCGGGTCCCGACGGGCCGTGCCGGCCGCAGCCGCTCCCTACGGGCGCGGCGGAGCGAAAGGGCGGGCGGAGGGCGGGCGCCCCGGAAGAGGAGGGGCGGGCGGGGCCCTGGCCTCCTCGTGTTCCCGTTGCTGGCGGCTTCCCCGCGGCCGCTAGCTCCCGTGCCGCGCCCACCGTAGCCACCACCAGCTGACCAGGACCTGAACCCCTACCGGTGGTGGGCTTTTAGCAGCTCCCTGCGGCCAATCCTTAGCGGCCGACGGCCCTTCCCGCAGGATATTCCGAGCTGCGAGGAGCCCCTCAGCTGGGAAGGCGCATGAGGAGCCGCCCCCTCCCGGGACACCTCCCACCAGGCTCCTCTCGGCCTGGGAGCCGCTGCCTGTTCCTCCGGGGGGCGGAGGGCGGCCGGAGCAAGGCAGTCCTGTAGCGCCGGAGTGTGCCTGAGTGACGCCGTGATCCCAGCCCTGGTTCCCGCTGGTCTGCGCCGCGGTGGGTCTGGCAGGAAGGGCTTGGTCGGAAGGACAAGCTTTGTCCGGGAGCCGGTGGGATAAAGCCCGCAGCTGAGCCTCTGCGGAGCGGAGCGGTGGCGAAGCCGCACACCGCCCGGGCCTGCCGCCGGCTCGCCTGTCAGGGTCTGCTCCTGAGAGGCTTGAGGCGCTTCTAGGAAGGCTTCGGAGAATTTTCCAAGGCTCCCTTCAAGGTCCTGAAGTGCCCGTGTGAGTGTGTGTGCCGCAGTACTGCAGCGCTCCCTTCCCGGGGAGATAGGATCGATCCCAGCGATTTAAACGCCCTCCCTTGAAGGCCCCTCGGAGGCGCTGCCTTGGTTGTCAGTCATGATACCCAGCAGGCCCAACGGGTTTGGCGTCCGAGTGAACGCTGGGTGAGTTTTTCCTTTAGGAGCTGTAAACGGCAGGAGCACATACCACACATACTGAAGCGCTTTCAAAACGGGGTATCTTCTTATGCTTGAAAACCATCTGGGAATAGGTTTAAAGATCATGCAAAACCACAAGTAAAAGAAGACACACTCTCAGGGTTACATTAGGCAACCGATGTTGCCAGTCAAGGATTGTATTAGTTTGCTGCACTGTCAGAACAACTCATTAGTGTAAGTTTGATCAGATGCAGGTATATGCTTTTGTTTTAGGTCAAACACAAAATTGATGTTGCGCTTTTATTTTTACAGTAGTTGCAGGAAAATGGGTGATACCTGATCCATGATCAATACAGCAGCCCAGGCAGATGACACCTGATGCAGCGTAAAGCTTGCCAAAACCCAAGTCTGTCAGCACTCTTTTTTAACAGATTTTTTAACAAATAAATTTAAACCCCCAAAGAGCCAGAATCAGCTGAGTTAGGGAGTCTTCACATTTCTGATCTATCTTAGAGCCATAGTACTGCATTTACTCCGTCATCATACCATGGTGAACAGGGTGAAGTTTCTGTTCACTGCACAAAGACTGGAGAGGAAGGGTTGCTTACTGGTCACCCCTTCATTAGATGTACTTCAAAGAAGTGATCTCTTGTTTCCTCATGTTCCCAGCACCAGCATGGGCTGCCAACTTCATCCGCCCTTTGACTTTTAGCTGCTGACATCTTGCTACCCTGCATTTATAGGGCTGTTCTTTTAGCAGAGCATTACCTTCAGACCCCCATCTTCTCAACCTTGGTGGCATTGCTGTAGATGGGACTGAGGGATTCCTCTTCACAGCTATAGATCCAGTCACTGTCTTTGTCTGCAAGATCCTATCTGATTCTTCCTGGACTGGCTCAAACACAACCCCACATGACTGCCATACATAATAACTTCCTGCGTTCACCAACACACTTGGAAATTCTCATAACAAAAGCATACAGAAGTGTAAGATTATTTTTAAATTTGGTAATGGTGTCTTCCCAATTAAAAGGGATTGCAAAAAAAGATTTACTGAACTATTGGCATAAAAATACAGTGGCAGGCTGCACTGACCCCTGCTTGCCGCCTCTTTACTGTGCTGATATTTTTGTCAATAGGAGCTTGGGGTGAGAACTGGGCAGAGCAAGCTTTAGGTCAAGAAAGTGAGACTAAAGCAGGCAGATGCAGTTAATCTGCACCTTCCCAAAAAAACCTGGGCCAGCCTGGGGGGCTCAGCCAGACACTACCAGTTTGGCAAACCCTTTAAAATACTGTACAGGTAACTGTATAGGTAGCTACAGTTTCACCGTCAAGATTGGGAAAGTCAGACTAACAGAACAAAGATTTGGTTTTACTCCCTGCTTCAGCCAGTGTAGTGGTTTGCCTGTTCCCTGTGTGGAGGGAGACTAGTGTGAAACACAAAACTAAACAGATTGTCTCTCTTGAAGCAAAAACTCGTGCAAAGCACGAAGTACAGGCAAACCAACTCTGTGTGTGCATGAGAAACTTCTACATTACATAAACTAAATTATTATAAACTTCATTATTATCCTGTTTGCTGCCTATTTATTTGCCTCAGATGCAAATAAATAACTTGCCTCTTGATCCAATATACATTTATGGACACTATTCCAGTGGATAGTAAGTACAAAAGGGTCTCAGTGGTTGGGACTGTATAGTCTAAGAAAACAAGAGCTTTAGCACACTTTACGAATTAAATTAGTATTCAAAGCAGCATCTGTTAGTAGTTCCACAGCGTCATTATTCTCTATCTGTAAATGGCAAAGGGTATTCTATTGCACAAGACTCAGCAATTACTTCTTATTAAGACTAATTATTTTACTCTATTTCCATGTTTTTTTTTCTAATTAAGTATCATTAGAATAGAGAATAGCTTTCATATTCCTTTAATGTTTCATTCAGTAAACATTCCCTCTGGAAAGAGCATGGCTGCGGTTTGCATGCTAAATACCTAGAAATGATGAATGGAAGTCACCTAGAACTGAAGGGCAGAAACTAGCCCTCAATAGCAGACAGCCCCTATGTACCTGCTCTTTCAAGGAGGCACTTCCAGAGAAGTTGTGGCTGCCGCATCCCTGGCAGTGTTCAAGGCCAGGTTGAACAGGGCTTGGAGAAACCTAGTCTAGTGGAAGGTGTCCCTGCCCATGGCAGGGGGGTTGGAACTGGGTGAACTTTAAGATCCCATCCAACACAAACCATTCTGTGATTTTGTTTTCCACATGAAACATTACTACTGGCACTGAACTTTGCTGAATTGTAGTGTGTTTTGGTTTTGTTTTAAGTGGAAATAAAACTTTCCTTGCTCCCCGGCAAGGTCAGGCAGAGAAGTGGGCAGAGCAAGGGAGCCTGAGCTGTGCTGGGGAGCACTGCCTGGGCTTTCCCATGCTGCCAGCAGGCTTCACCACCACAGCAGCCAAGGCTCAATGTCTGTTCTCCGCTTAGGTGGACCAGGTAAATGAAATTAAAAGCTCTTTGTAGGTGGTGGGTTAGCTTGGTTGTCATACACAATTCATTTTGGTCTCTGCAGACAAAGTCCGTAGATGGAAATACTGAAATGGGAATAAGCACAGTGGAGCAGCAAGAGAGGGTCTGGTGGGGTCAACATCTGCAAAGGGCTGGTCCACCACTGAGAACGGTTGTCCAAGTGTAACCATGGTTTTACCAGCCAGCCATTTGTACTTTCTAAAGGGAAATGTTTTGTTGGTACTTCACTATCTTGTTATGTCCCCTGGTAAGATTAAGATGGCTTCATTAACTTATATCTGTGTTCCTGCAGGAGTTTCACATTTACGGTTTCTTTTTACATGGCTCACCAAACACCCCTAAGCTTTAGTGCAACCAGGCCCTTTTTTCTTTGAGTTTTATCAAAATACTCTCACCAGACCACAAAGCATTTCTCCTGTCTTGAAACAAGAGCAAGATGCCTAATTCTTTGAAGGCACAGTATTCATTTGACTGTTATTAATCATCATCATCATAATCATTTACCTCTCAGGGAAACAAAATTAAGTAAACCTCTAAATCCACAGCAAAGCTCTTTCTCTTACGGAAAAAGAGATGCTGGAGTTTAGGTCAACTTCTGAGCTTGCTTGTTGAAATAACTTCAAATCTCCAATAGCTCATCCAGGCAAGGCAAGAAATTGGTCCAGAATAAAGCAAAGAACCCCCAATTCACTTATAAGAACTTTTTTTAACAGCTTTCTGTGGAACTGTGATGTTTTTGTCAGTCTAGGCTCAAAGCAACAGGTAGAGATTCCTTCCTTAGTTGAGGAAGTAAGTCCTACATTATTCAGCTTTGAAATTTAAGGAAAGCTGTAAAGTAATTGTTTAATTAAAACCCAGAGGAACGTGAGATGATGACTGACTGCATGACTTGTCTCTGATTGTATCACCAGATAACTCTTTCAAGAGAGCCTGTAGTGAGGCTAGGCTCTCATGATGTAATGCTGCCTGTATGTTTTATTTATAAGGTTATCATGACTTTCCTGTAACAACATGTGAAAATGCACTGTTGCTGCTGGGTGTACGGCCCATGTAAACCCAGTAGGATTTTGGCAAAATACCAGTGAAAACAATCTCAGTGCATGAATTAACACCAATGTGTGACATAAATACAGTAACAGGATTTTAAAAGCAAAGGCTTTGAACCAGGCTTATCACCCAAGAGGCCACAGCAGATGAATTTGAGGAAGGCAGAGGCACATAATGGCTGCATTTATTTGCCTTGCAAGAGCTAGATCTTGGAAAGATGACAGGAGAAACTCCAGTGAAACAGCAGGATGAAAATCATAGAATGGTTTGGGTTAGAAGGGACCTTAAAGATCATCCAGCTCCACCCCCCCGCCACGGGTCAGGACACCTTCCACTAGACCAGGTGGCTCAAAGCCCCATCAACCTGGCCCTGAACCCTGCCAGGGATGGGGCAGCCACAGCTTCTCTGGGCAACCTGTGCCAGTGCCTCACCACCCTCTTTTCCTTCCCACCTTCCCATTTCCAAAGGGAAGAATTTCTTCGTTTTATGTAACCTAATTCTATCCTCTTTCAGTTTAAAGCAATTCCTCCTTGTCCTGTTCCTACATGCCCCTGCAAAAAGTCCATCCCCAGCTCCCTTAGCTGTCCTAAGGTCTCCCTGGAGCCTTTTCCAGACTGAACAACCCCAGCTCTCTCAGCCTGTCTTCATAGGAGAAGCACTCCAGCCCTCTGATCATCTTTGTGGCACTCCTCTGGACTCACTCCAACAGGTCCATGTCCCTCCTATGTTGGGGGTCCCATGGCTGGACACAGGACTGCAGGTGGGTACAAGAAGTCTGAGGAGTGATAAAATTTCAACACGTCCAGCTTGACAGGACATTGTGGGCATAGACTGGTGTTCATTTGTGTTCAGAACTTTAACAGTAATTACATGGTAGTAAATATGTGCAAAGCATCTTGGCATTCTTCAGCAGCTGTTACCTTCACCCATAGTGCTTCCTCTCCCTCATTCCATCACTCATTTATATGCTAAATCCACCAGCAACTCCATTTGCTACAGGACACTTTCTATCCTGAAAACCAACACTGGCCCAAGAACATCAGCATAAATTAACCTTGTAAAAACACAGGTTAAAACCACAAATGTTTCTTGTCAAAAGTAAAGAAATTCTGACCTGGTCTTCACTTGGGGACCTTTTATCCATTTCTGACCAGGATTATATTCACTGCCTGTGCCAGTGGTGCTTTGTTGCTGTCCCCAGCAGAGTACAGCACATACTCAGTCTCAAAAAACCTTCCTGGACTTTTTGCTTCTCTTCCAGCTGTGATGTGGGCAGGCTTTGTCCAGAAGATGTGAGAATAAACTCATTCCAGCAGTCAACCACCAGAATTTATATTCTCTTGAATTTGTGTCTTTGAACTGATAAGAGGTTTATGAAAAAAAGAAGAAGGAAGGAGTGAAAACTGTTCGTGATTGAGACCTCACACCAGGG